ATAGCTAGCTTCTGTTAAGTTTCGAACCTTAGAGCCTAAAGAGATGCAGAGAAATAGCAAAAAAATGAAAAAAGAAATATTTGATGGTTAAAATCGAAAGTTTTCTATGACCTGTGTACGAATTCAAAAATTACTGTTTGACATTTGCTACAAACTAAACAAACTAAACAAACTAAACAAACAAAACAAACTAATTTTAAAGTTTATTGCTTATTAACTTTTTCCAGTCAAAAACTATTCGAGATTGTTTACCTTGTTCCGGCGTTTGAAGAAAGTGAGAAATATATTAGCCCGGGGTGGTTGTTTTTTGTTCCGACCAATTTGCAAAAATTCTCTCGGGTGACCGATACCTTAACCTTCAACTTCGCAGAAGGGCTGCTCTCAGTATTATACTAGGCTGACTTTACGGTATCTGTAAAACGAGTTTTACTAAATTGATTGTTTTATACTTTGATGATGGAAAGAAAAAATAACGCGCATTATTTGCAAATTAATTGGAGGCAAGCTAATTGGTTTTCTCAATCATACTTACAACTCAAGTTTTAATTTTTAAATTGGGATATTTTTAGCCTAAAGTTCATAGTTTGTCAATATTCATTTAACTAAAAATAATTCGAGATCAGGTAATGGGCAGTCGAAACTTTCAGGGCTTATGCCTTGAAACGAGCAGTCTTGTTGCTCATATTTGACTGTTTTAAGCAACTCGATTTTCCAACTATACGAATGAGATGAAAACTGGCAAATTTCGAATTCCGATGAACTCTCCGAATAATTGAAGACAAGTTTGTTGTTTCAATTTAATTTGGCTAAATTAATTATAAGACATAAATTCGACCTTCAGCCGAATGATTTTTTTTTCAGTTTAAACAAAATTCCATTTACTTCAATTTTCACGTTTTGGTCAAATATTGTTTTTAAAGTTTGCCAAACAAATTTTTAAATTTTTTCTGGAGGGCAGCGGTGCGGCTTCTTATATAAAAAAAAACGTTTTCCAGTATAAACTTGTTAAAATCGTCTCGATGCACTGGCTTTCAAAAAAAAACTTAATGCATTTTAAGAAGATTAGCGTGTCACGCACCTCCGATGCTTCCAGCCTGTAGATGAGCTTGATAATTGTTTATATGTACAACTTAAGTTAAAAAAACAGCAAAACTAATGCAACCGCAAAAGTAGACAGGGGCATCCGACAACACTTCATAAATGAAACGCAGCTCAAGTTCAAGGTTGTATTTCACCTAAAATGGTCAAATATCCTAAGCCCTTGAGTTTCAGATTTTCATATTGTTAATTCAGACACCAACCTTTAAAATAGCAGACAGCATTTAAAGGCACTTTTCATATTTAAAATTTTCTGGAACATTTTCAATTGCGAACTTGATTTCATAATTGAGAACTGAATCATTTATTTCCTTTAGCTCGTACGTATATCATTTGCTTCCACCAGTCGTTTAATTTACCGTAATCTGTTCAAATACATCGCACTCTTTTTTCTTTGTTTAATTTGTAAGTTTATGTTTTTTGAAAATTAAGTTTTTGAAATCATCATTAACATCTTCATCTCGAAAACTGAAAATTTTTGGTCGGTCGTAATTAGGGGCCAGATACGCAGCGCATGAGAATACCCTGAGAGCACCCAAATCTAGATTGGGGTTTTCAAAGAAGTGTTCTTTGCCTGGGAGTACCCCTCTCAAGGATTTTCGCCTGAGAGTACCCTGACAGCACCCATATCTAGATTGGGATTTTCAAATAACTCGAAAAATATAAGAATTTGAGCAGTCATTTTTGGAGGTAAGACTTACAAACCATTCGAGTACCAACCCTGACCTTGACAGCACCCAACAAAAAAATGAAGTTTTTGAAATCACATGAATTTTTTTAAAATTGTAATTGTTGTATCTTGTAAACTAAAAGGATTTGGGTATTCATACTCGGGGGCCAAATTCGCAGCCTCTAGGTTAACTCTGACATCATCCCACTATTGGTTTACTAATTTCAAAATACTTGAAATAAACACCGAACTCAAATTAGAAAACTTAAACATTCATAAAAATTCTTAAACACGCAAAATTTATGTACAGCCAAAATTATTCAATGAAAAAGCTTGAACATGGTGGGATAACGAAGCCCGAATTTAAGTATAGAAAGAATTTGGGAGCAAAACAATAAAGCATACGTTTGAAATCCTACCATTGTTGAAATGGCTTTTGGCAACTCATCTCAGAAGTTTGTAAGCCCGGGTTGACCTCCATAAACCGAAAATGCTTATCTTACATTTCCCCACACGGAAAATGCTTATCTTACAATTTCCTACATCAAATGTATGGAAAATTGTTTATCCTACATTTTCCATATTTGAAAAAATGCTTATCCTAGAGTTTTTTTTAAACAATTTTTTGAGTCTATGAAACTGTAGAAAATTGTAGGATAAGCATTTTTTCATATATGGAAAATGTAGGATAAACATTTTTCCATACATTTGATCTTCAACCCGGCAGTGGAATGACAGGCAATAACTGATAATTCGACGCGCAATCTCTTACACTAAAAAGGTTCTTAGCGATGTAGTTTTTGGACATTCGCTTTTTTGCCATCATTGCTGTTGGGTGTCTCACAAAAACTGTTATGGCAAAAAAGCTACAGTCGAAAAATTACTTCGACAGTAGTTTTTTTAGTGTAAAAGATTGCGCGTCAATTTTCATCAAATTTGCTTTCTTTTTCTTAAATTTTTGTTATCGAGAATAATTTTAGATGACTGATTCTGCTTTAAACTGAGTTCAGTTTAGCATTGTCTTCATCAATTTCAATATTTTTATATGCGGTTAAAAAGAGCGTTAAGATAGCGGTAATCGAAAATCAATTGATTAAGCGGCTGTAGTTAAGTAAGAATTTCTTTTAGATCTTTTTTTTTCTAATTTTTTCTCCCGTGCTGCTGAGTTTTCTCTTCCGAACTTTTGTTTGTTTGACTGTCTGTACCAAAATTGTTCGATTTTATGCATTAAAAAACTACACTCCAAAAATGTATCGTGTAACTTTACCTTAGAAGTTATCGTGTGATGCAAATAATTGTGGGCTCTTTTTTAGCTTTGCGTGTTCGATGAGTAGCGAGTTCGACGATTTATCGGTGCAAAAGGAAAACACGCGATTTTATAGCCTTTTATATGATTTAACGTGTGTACTTGCAGGATTTGCGTCGCATGTTTTACACGACAAATACTATAGTTTGTACATAAAAAATTGAAATTTATTGTGTAAGAAATACATGAGTAATCGTAACAATGGTGCAAAAAAGGTTTAATTTACACGACAAATCGCGTAATTTTTATACGAAAATTATCAGTTTTTCGTGTAAGAATTACATGATTTATCATGTAAATAGATCTTTTTTTTTCGTATGCTTAACACGATTACTCGCTTCTTTTTTACGCGACAAATTTACGTTTTTTTGTGTAAAAAGTACTCGAATTGTTGTGTAAAACATACAACACAAATCGTGCAAATTTACTCGAAAATTCATATAAATAGTTACAAAATGTCCCTTTGATACCGATAAATTGTGTACGCCAGATTTATAGAGTAGGGCCAATTGTTGTCACATGTCTCAGTTTTCTAGACTATATTGTTGATCCGGCCGTAAAAAGGGTAACAACTCTGCTGAGTTTTTTTTTGTTCCGACTTTCGATACGAAAGTAACGGAATATTTGTGCTCGGGGTGGGTTTTTTTTCTTCAGACAAATTTCGACTTTTTAACTAGCCATTTTTGACGGAATTTTTAAATATCATTCGAAAGGTATTGTTGCCTTGAGCTCAAATTTGAAACGATATTTCACCTGTGTTCATTTTTTGTAAAGTTATGGGGGTTTAAAAATTGCCATTTTGGCCAATTTGGGACAATTAACGCGCGATATATTTCGCGCTATTAACGCGTAAGCGGAGAGTTAATCCGTCTTAGAAATCGTTCCAAATTGGTTAATAGAAACTTATTTGCCTGCCATAATTGGTTTGTTACAAGGAGCGAAATCTATCCTTTTGTACTTTATATGGCGTGTGGGGGGATGATTTTCATTTTAAAAAATTCACATTTTAGAAAAAAAAATGTTCTTTTGTTTTATTTCATTGAATTTTTTAATGTTATTACTGCTCCATAAACCTTAAAAGGCAGTCGGAACATTCAGGGCTTCGCCCTGATACGAGCAGTCTTGTTTGGTTTTACCTTCTTTTTTCATGCAAAATCATTTATGAACTTCAGATGAGATCGAATGATTCATCATGCTAAAATAATTTCAACTGTGCTAAAATAACAGAGTTTTAGTTTCACTTTCGGTCGTTCTGTAACTTAAAGCGTAGGAGTACTGTTCATCTCTATGCAAATCACCCCATATCAGAAACCATGCTGGGGTCTTTTTTTTTTCCGCCCAAAAATGATGTTTCATATTCTTGAAACGAAACTATGTTCTCCGAATTTGATGATGATCGGAAATAGCCAATCATATAAAAAAAATATCAGTTCGAAAAGTTTTTTAAAATTTTTTAGTATGCCCATAAATCAGGCCAAATATATTTTCAGCCCGAAAATATAGCTTGTTTTTGTCAAATAATTGAATTAAACTTGTCTCGAAGTACCTGTTGAGCAGGGTCCGGGCTAGAAAAACAGGAAATAATTTCAAGAAAAAAAAAGATTGACCACCCTCAAATTTACTCAAATAGGCACGCCATTTCGGCCTTGTTGGCAATTGTCCGAACAAAAAATTATTACGACTAATGTTTTGTTCGTCGCTTCAATAATTTGGCTCCACAAATTACAAAATATTAACGGAATAAGTAAAAAAGTCCCCATTATGAAATAAGACAGCCATAATTTATCTTCTAGAACGAATATTAAACTTTCAGATTTTACAGTGGCTTCCTATTTTTGCTTGATTAAGATACGATGGTTCGTTTTTGGCAATTGACTGAACGCAAATTTTTGACTTTTTTTGAGCCACTTGATGTAATAATTTCAGGTGAAACAAATCAATTTTCGCTTTCTGGCTATAACTGGTTTCTCGGAAATAAAGAACACTTCGGAAAATTGATTCCTCTACACCCTGGAAACTGGCAACAATTTTATCTCTCGTTCGACAAGCCGTATTCTACCTCATCGAATGCTCCGCTCTTAGTTCGCGTTGTGGAAGTTAACAAAGACAGCCATTTGGTTCTGTATTCTTGCACTGAAAAACAGGGCATGCTTTTCAAATACGTTGAGGAATATGCTTGGCTGCTATCTCGAAGACCATTGATAGATCCCTGGACTTTGAGCCACTTAGAGAGGCGATTATCAGGCTTAACTAATTTGGAACCGTGGCAGTTTTGGCGATCGTGGAAAAAGACGTGCAGACAAAGTCAGGACTTCGAAAAAGAATTTGGCTCAATTTTGAGGAAACAAGATAAACTTGAGTAACATCAGAAGCTTTCAGAGTTTATCGGCAACAAAAATCAGAGAACAGTTATTGAATGTACAGTTTTTATTGTGTAAATGCCACAAGCGAGATGAAATATTTCAAATAATTTTCATTTCTAAAAAATTGAAACAAACTGACTGAAAGAAATATAGAAGAAAGATTTTTCGGTCTACTTGATGAGAAATAAGGCCCAAATGTTAGCTCCGGACGGTTCATATCGTTCGGCATTCAAGTTAACTGTTTGGTACCTACAATTTTCGACATCCATAATTACGCTTCCGAGTAGCAAGCGTTATCAAATCGGAATACAGACTTATTTCGTGTTTGAACAAATTGTTTAACAGAATTACTTAAAGCACTTTTATCCTGGCTCATAATGAATTCAAACTTCTAAGCCTAAATTCGAAGCCTAAAATTTTCCGGCCTAAATGATTTTGGCTGATATGTTATCTGTTGACTAACATAATTGGGTCATTCGAGGGAAACAAAATTTGTTTGCTTTCCTCCGGATCGCACAAGACGTTAAAAAATCTCAGAATAGAATTAATAGTTCAATTTTTTAAGACAACAATTTTATTTTTGCTCGATAATTGTTTTTGAATTTTCATTAAAAGCCAATTAATTGTTTCCGGACGGATTTTCCGCAAATGAAACATCATTCCAGAGAAAATCTGAATTAATTTTTAGTTGTGGTTTCCTCGAAAGGTTTTCTGTTTCTCTGGAATTAGTGGCTCTCCTTTCCTTTCCTGTCTGCTAGTTTGTAATCCTATTTGTGTGATATCGACAGTGATGCTAAGCAGAGCTTCGCCTCTGTGTGGAAAAGTCCATTTCAATAATGATAAAATAACTTTACTGTTAGATATTTTTGCAAGCTTGATTAAATTGGAATCTTAGCATCCCTGAAAAAAATGGCGCAAAAATGGCTCATACAATCGAGAACAACCATCTGATATTAAACGAAAAAGTTGTTTATGGGGAAAGAGGAGGGATGCTATTTTCGCAAAAAAATACCGTTGTTTTATGTCGACCAAATTGATTTTATAAGTTTTTCTAAAACATAATAAAACTGCTCTGTAGGCCGCAGGCACAATTTTGAGAAAACGGCTGGATTTTAGATTGGATTATAAATATCAAAATTACAAGCCCAAACAAGAGCAAAAAAGCAACCCACTTGAAAGATACCGACCAAATTTGTGGGTTTTTAGCTACAAATCAAATAATTAGCCTTTGAAAACTAACTCAGTGAAGGTTCCGAAATCGAACACCATCGAAAATCAATCACCAGCTTCCAGCTCCATTCAAGCTTTTGTGTATCGACGAGTCAAGATGGGCCGAATATTGAACTGCCCCAGATGAAGTTAGCAGTACTCAGTGGGGACCCTCTTGAATGGCAATAATGTTCGACTCTTTTCCTAGCAACTGTAGACATCGCCTCAGCAGACGACAGTACCAAGCTGAAACAATTGAAGATGCTAGTTATCGGAAAAGTTATAGCAACCATTAAAAAGATTTAAGCTGTTTGACAAAAATGTATTCAGTAGCTTGGTAAACTGTTCTTAGAAACATTTGCAGACCTTATAATATACTTACAGCGCAACTTCAAAAAATTCACAATGAAAATTTCATGTGAAGGCATGACTGTTGGTAAATAAGTTAGCTTGAGAAAATAATTTCGTTATGTGTTATAATTTTTCTACACAGTACCAAAAGTTTGGAAATCTCAGCTCCGAAACTGTCTGAGATATGTCAGAAAGCATCTAATTGAGCTGAGGAAAATTTGTGGTTTCTCTTAACTAACAGCAAATTAAGACCGCCAGGCTTAATGCTTTCAGCTAATAGCTGAATAACAAAGCTATTGGTGGCTGAATCAAATGGCAATGAAGTTTCGCGACATTGAAAAACTGAACGTCAAGCGTTGCGAAGCAAACGACAAGCAAAAAACAGCACAATTGACCTAAATGGCACATCCTAGAGCACCTGAGAAAAAAAGGAGCAATTGGCGTCTCTTAAAATAGGGAGTTTTTAAATTTTAAAACTGTCATGAGCCGAAAGGCAGGATTAAATCAAGCAAATGAAACAATGCTGCTGATGCAAAGAAGAAAAAAAATTGATTATCAACTGCAGCAAAAAAGGCGACATCAATTGCTGTTCATAAAAAATTATTTGGCTGAACCAACCATAATTTTTGAGAAGACAATTTTCACATAAGGTTCAGTAGTGACGAGGTCCAGATTCCCATTAAGTACCCCAATGGTATTAACCTCATCATCCAATTTTAACCCCCAAAAAACTGAGAAAACTACGACGGGTTTGCATTGCAGCAGTTAAACCTTACGGCCTGTACTCAGGGAAACTTCGATCCCAGGACCGTTTTGCTACAAAAACTAAAAAAAGGTTACAAAAGAGTTACAAAAGACGTGTTTTTTCTCAGACAAAATGTTCAACGTGTGTTGATTAAGTATTGTTAAGAACAAGAAAATAATCAGATCAATAATAAGAACATGAAAAAACTATAAATTGTTCCAGAAAACAGGAAAAGTAATCGAAACGTAAATTTTAATAAGTATTTTAATAAACGCAATAGGAGCGACGAAGCAAAGTAAAACAATGTGAAAGAAACACGCAAGTCTGAGAACAATTTTTTGGTGATATTTGAAGTTTTACTAGAAAACTGTCTGTGAAATTGAGCAATACTCGAAATGCAGTGGAATGTAGAAGGTTTCTAGAAATTTCTCGTTAGTTTCAGGCAAAACTTTTTTTAAAGATTACCGAGGGAGCAGTTCTAACTCCTAACAACTGAGCTGCTAATAAATGGACAAGGGACAAAAAGTTGAACGAGATGAAGACATTGGGCTGAAGAACTACACGAAAAAACTCATAAAACCTTGGCAATTCTTTAAAACAACACAACCAGCTACCAGCTGCACATATTTGAAAAATTTGAATAGCTGTCTCAGCCGGGATGGACAGCCGATGCCTCAGCTATCCATGCTTCGTATAGAACTGCAAGCCGCACTAAGCTCATCTCATCTTTGTTCACCACCTTTCTCCGAGCACGATGAACATTTAAAACACACATTGGACGGACGACTCAATGACGACGGTTCATTGCCTTTGTTTAGCCCAATAAGTCAACAGTATTTCTGGCAAACAGTGTAGCGGAGATTATTTAAAGTTCTACAGTTGATGGGTGACATAACGCTCCTGATTGAAAATCCAGCCAGCAAAATGAATCGAGCAAGTTCAATCGGACCTAAATGGAAACTATTGGATAACTTGCCTGCCAAAATCATGTGTCTATGCCTATAGCTTGTCTTTGCCGGCCAAAGTCAGCCGAGTTTCTCTAACCGAGCGTTTTCCAACTACCAGAAACCCAAGATACGGTTGAACTGGTCTCACTGCTTACTGCCAAACAACCAGCTTAGGCTAAAAAACAATTTATTGGGAACATATTATCGTCTTTTCAAGAAAAGTGAAAACTGTTGCCTTTTGTCTTTGGTTTGGAAGTAAACAACTTAGTACGCTTGAAAAAGTAGAATAAAAAGCAAAAGAGGCTATAAATTGATTGGCTCAGGAAAAAAGCTATCCGAAAAAATTCAAATTTCTCAAAACGAATCAGTTGATGGATGCATCAAAACTCCAGCCTAATAAAAGTCACTCCCTTTGTGAGTTTTGCTCCAAAACTGAATTCGATAAATTTTAGTTAAGCCTAGGGTGAGTTTTTGTATTGTGCTAGAACATCGCAATATTCATTATAAGGCAATGACATCATTACTTTTTACCTCTGGGTCCATTTTTGTGATTCATTTGTTACCAGGTCCCAAATGTAACGTGACTCCAATAAAGCCATATTTGTCATTGTTTTTCTCTCTTTTGCTTATACAAATTTTGCTCATACTACTCTGGTAGCGACTTGGACTGTGAAATGAGAAACCGAATGAGGTGTTCAGCAATCGGCTGCTTCTATTCTTCAGCTTAAATCAAGGTTTTGGTCATTATGTAGATACAGTCTTTTAACGCAAACATGGGGGCACTTTTTCACCATTTGGAAAAATTATGCTATGATTTTTAAACCATATTGTTACACCGGCCGACTAAAAACGGGCGAAAACATTCAGAGCTCTGAGCTGATGCGAGCAGTCTTGTTATTTTACCAGCACACGTTACGAGCTAATAACTTTGGCGTACCAACTTCTAACGTATCGGCACTGTTTGAATGTATCAAAAGAACCTTTTCTTGAAAAAATTTTTGCAATCGCGTCTTTGTGAAATTATGGTAGCATTCAAAAGGTTTTATTTTCTCAGCGATTAGAAGTTTGCTTAATTTCATGTTAACAGTTTTCAGCCTATAGGTTCCAGGCTTCAAAGGCCCCAAAGAGCAGCATACAGAGCAGAATTTCAATCATACGGCAGAACTTATCCATTTTATACGAACAATTTTTTTCAAAATTGTAAAATTTGTGCTGCAACTCTATTTCTCAGGCCAAGTACCAAACACGCTTTTATGTTCTAATTGACTAAACTTTCAACAAAAACTGCTCTATCTCTCAGAGACGCAAAAAATGCATCTAAACATATATCTCCCACTCTACTGTGTTGCTCCTTGAAAGTTCTCTTTTCATTTTCCAATTTGACTTTTTTTCTAAAAGGTGTTTAAAACGGCATTTTGTTGTAATAAAAGTATGAATAATGAAAGTTTTCATAGAGCAAGAAAAAAGCAGTATTTTTTTTGTAAACCAGCGGAATGTGCTCGATACAACAGCAGAACTTTTTGGGGCCTACCTAGCTTCCATATGGTGTTTTTTTTGGTTCTGGGAGTCTTTAATAGTCTTAAGTTTGTATCAAATTGTATCTCCACTAAAATTGTTTTGATGATTAATGTTTTTGTTGCAATTAGCACGAATAAAATAATAGGACACTTGGTGTTCTCATGATGGAGGGACCAAATGCTGAAAAAAACTTCCAGCAATCAAAACTGCTTGACGCTGTTATTGGCTAATTGGCTTTGTAACAAAATTTAGGCCTTGATTTATATCAGGGGTAAAGTTAGCAAAAATGCTAGCAAAAAATTAGCAAAAAATTTTG